ACGCTAGCCGCGCAGGTTTAAATTTTCAGAACTCTAACTTTTAATTAATGCAACTGCCGTGTGTAAATCGAGGAGTAACTCTCGCTTGTCCTTTGCTTTTCCTGTGTATAGAACACATGGGAAGGTCGACCATTATCGAAATTTCAAAGTCACAAATAACCTTCCATTACTTTTTCTGACATTGTTCGTTTTTTCAGGAGAAAATTGAAGATTTGTCCTCTGAGCTTGGTGAGCTGTCGATTTCTTTGTGTCACAACCCAACGGATCAAAAACTAATGGTAAAAGTAAACTGCGCCAGGGGCTTACAGCAGATTTCAAAGGACGGGAGACTAAGTGAGTAAACCTTTCAGAAAAAAAAGAAGAAAGATATGGAACAAGATAATCTTCTTACATTTAAGGGCAGTGAAAATCTCTCCACAAAAACGACTGATTAAAAACGTCTTAGATAGAGTATTTTAATCGATGATATATCGGAGTTTTCCCATATGGCGAAGCACAGCGTATCAAGGGGAATGAATGTACGATAAAAGAGAGTCAATCGTACAATAAACTGTTTAAATGTTAGATAACTTATTTAACTGTTGTGAAATATCTCTGTGCAGTTTGATTTGTCATTTCGGCTCACCTAAACACTGAAACACTCTTGAAAAATGTTTGGTGGTAGCACACAGTTAATTGCATGGCCCAAGCAAAAGAAAACTGAAAAACACTTGGGGTCAAGCTTAAATAAAAAATCATTACTATTTGCTCTCTCGAAAAAAATTTCCATCGCTAACACCAATTATGTCTTTTTTCAGATCCATTTGTAAAACTAGAGCTCACATTCTGTGGACGGAAGCTAAGTACCAGGACAACAAAGACCGCTCATAACACTAGAACACCAAACTTCAGTGAAATGTACGTGTTCGATGTGAACTCAGACAAACTGCCCCAGATTACGCTGTTCTTCAAGGTCAAGCATCGTGGTATGATGCGTGACGTACCCTTGGGCACGGTACACCTTGGGTATTGCGTGAATGTCGAGAGCGAATACAAGCACTGGGAACAAGCCATGGAAAAGCCTCACCTCGAAATAGCGCAATGGCACACTCTTCAAGAGTATTTTGTTGAATGATTACAATTTTTCGTCCCCTGACAGTAAGATGAATTACACTGAAACAAGTAATGATAGATTTAAATGAATTTATTTGGGGTGAAAAATGCGTGGCCTGCGGTAGAGCTGGGTAGAATCTAGATATCACAGGGGAAGATTTCTCATAAAACTGTCAGGTGGTAAAGCTTACAAATGTCATATGTAATTTGACTTTTTTTCAGAGAGAGAGATTTACTTTCTACGACCCCGATAAAGAATATTTTGTATGATAATCATACACATACGAACGCGAAGCGCGCGTGTCATCGATTTTCTGCGTGCCTGAACAGAAAAGTCGCCAGAAATGTGAATGTAAAGGACTTTATGCGGGTTGCTTTAAACCCTTTGAGAGGACTTAAAATCATTGTCGTCCTTTTATCTTAATAATATACAGAGTGATTTGTAAGCTGGACAATGCTAATACTGATGGGATTAATCTCTTTTGGAATATGATCGTTAAAAAGATATCTATTTTGTTGTGTGTGAAGGTTATTCGTTTGCCTAAAATATTTTACGCAAAAAAAGTTGACCGATGTTTGGATTTTTTATCACAAAAAAAAAAAAGGAAAACAAATCCTTGTAGATATGATATGATACTTTTGTTCCCTTCCATTTAAAGAGTCTGAAATTTAGTCGCAAGTTTTATCTAATTTGTTTTTGGCAGGTCTGTTATTGCAGTCATTAAGTCTGTTATTGCAGTTATGAGTTCAAACAATGACAGTTCGTAACAATTACAAAAGCTGACGTTTCGAGCGTTAGCCCTTCGTCGGAGCGAATTATTTCGTTAACCCCACCGACGCAGCCCCAAACAGTTTCTTTAGAAACTATCAGCCTTTATATAGTTCGTAACACACTGTTATGATCAATAAAGTAGTTTAGCAATGTTTCTTCGTCTTCCTTTTGGTTCAAAGTTTAAAATTCATCTGGCGACAACGGCATTACAATTTAATTTATTTATAGCAGCAAGACGGTGCATTGATGGAAAATCCTTCTGTTACGCATTCATTCTTACAAAGTGCTAATGGGTTTTCTACATTTAACTCAATGAACGATTTGAAACAAATATTTTTATAAAATATGCAGTGACCTTTCTCACGTTTCAGACCGTTTAAACACAGATGAAGTTTCTACCCTCACTTTCTAGCGTAAATTACAAGAAACTTGCAAAAACTCCGGAGAGAGATGTATAACGAAAACAATGAATANGCTCTCCTTGCTCGAGGTCTCATACATGAGGATCTCAATGGAGTTACCTGTCAGCCGATAATATTGACAAATTTTAACCGTTAATCGTAAAAAATTTTAAGAATATTAACCGTTAGCCGTAAAGTGGCCAAGTGTTTCAAATTTCAAAATTTCAAAATTTCAAATTTTTAAAATCCATCACCCCACTGAAACCCTCATACTCAGTCTCCCGCTGGCAAAGAAACGTTCGTGCTGAAGCACTATTAACCCTTGTACAGCCTAAGATCATTATGCATATTCTCCATACTGTTCTTTATACACTTCCTAAGGTGTTGTAAGGGGAATTTGTCTAACAATCAAGAGTTTTTTTAGTTGGTGATCATTTCCTCTATTCTCATAACCTTAAAGTGTGATTCAGGAATGACATTGTAGCGAGAAATTAGATGCCAGTTTGCAGGCAGTCTGACACTAATAAACAAATGGTAAACACCACAGCGCACAGTATTGAGTTATGGATGCACGCGGGAGGTTGCTAAGCACGAAAGAAGCGTAAGAGTTGCTCGAGGCGATAGCCGAGAGCGACTCTAGCTTTTTGAGTGCTTAACAAACCTCCCAAGTGCATCCATAACTCAATAGTGTAAGCTGTGGTGTTTACCATTTGTTTTATGACATGACATTGATACATTGTGGCTAAAGAGTTCCCTTTTATTTAACAAAACAAGCGCGCGCGGAAAAATAGTCTTTGCATTTGCTCACATCAGCAACGTACACCCATGGGCAAATGGGGGACGCTAAATTGACCAATCAGAGCGCGCGCTTTACTTTGGTTACGTTATAATACTTTTTGCTTGCTTTCACACTTCCTCCTAATTCATGTGTTCCACGTCAGTATATTTACAAGCTCGTTTTACAGTTATTCACATTGTTCCTTAATCTATTTCCCCCGAGCTACTTAGAAAAGTGAAATTCCGCTCTGGTTTTCTAGTGATAAACTGATGTCATGACAGCCTCTTTCCCGCCAGACTCTTCGCCTTCTGGTCCTTGATAGAACTTCTCTTTTCCAAGGAGTCGCAAGCCTATGGGACGCAAGACTTGTTTAAGGTACCCGTGCACGAACGTGCCTCTTGCTCCTAGCATTTGTGGGGCCATATTGTATAAGCTCTTCAGTGGGGACATAAAGGAATCAACCAAATCATGATCCACAATGTCAGCGTAACACGACACCCAAACACCGTCCACAATCATGGTCCCTTCCCGGGTAACTGGTGCAAAGGCTCCTAATCTTTCAGCTGTCGTAACTGACATAACCCCCTTTGCAATAGGAGCACGGTACGTTGAAACATGAACGAGGATATAGTCACCTGGTTTGATTTGGGACGCATGCACAGAGCGGAAGGTATTTCCTCCCAACTTAAGTTGGAACTCGAACACAAGATGAGCCTCACTAAGTGTGAGCTTAATGTTGTCTTCAGTGGTGATGGTGTAATAATGACCTGCACAGGAAGAAAATTTGCGCTGCATTTATGATTCTTTTTCATAACACCTTTTAATTTCTCTTAAGAGTCTTTTCAAACACAAGTCTCTCAGGACTAAAGTCAGCACCAGAATAGTATTGGTTCCTTAGCAAAAGAAAAAAAAAAGCGTAGTCGGTGTTTAAATCGTATCGGTGGAATCAGAAATATTAGTGTTTGGGAGCCAATCAGATACTAAGGATAGCCAGTAATTTCCAAACAAATGTAATTACAGCAAACACCTTTTCAAGGAAAACTTAAAAAATGAGGATAAGTTTTAGGACCAAAATTGGAACATGAGGGGATAAAATGATTCACGGGCACCACCTACCCTTGTAATCAGGCGCTTGATCCAAGAAGGTGACAACAGGACTAAAGATAATCTCGCCACCCTTAGAAAAGGTCTTGACTGTCTCTCCAATGGCAAGCTCACTGATGGGAATCTTCTTCCCAGATCTGAGCTCTACTTTAGCTTTCGAAGGGAAGCATGATTGCTGAACATTGACGTTGATCCCGCAGCCGTCTAAAACAAAAGGGGGAAAAGAGTCATCGAGCTAATTAACTCAGGTGATTGATAAGCTACAAGTCTTCAACCGTGTCATGCTCAATGACTGAAAATTTCAAAAGACGCATCTCAGATAGACGGGCTACAATTTTCCTTCAGATTTGTTCACTAGTATGCGTAGTTAGTGAAATGAATGGAAGTCGTAGCGAAGATGCTTTCGGTAGCAGGGTTCGAAACTGCCAATACTTAAAGGAAATTTCTGTAGCAGATTTGCTCCTGTTATTCCTTTCTCGTACTCAAACCACTTACAGCCAACCGAGGTAAGCTTTCAAAGGGAAAGGCTCCTTTGACCAGGTTAGCAAGTATAATCTACATCATAAAATCATTCGGCCCAGGCGCTCAAATTGGCTAAATTTCCTCCACCCAAAATTTACTCCAATGTGTTTCTTCCACTTACCTGGTCGAGTAGGCCACAACTGAGCAGATAAGAAATTTTTGTGTTTAAGGACACCTTTAGCTTGATGAAATCCATATCCGTCCCACAGCAGAACGCTACAATCGTTGCTGTCATCTCCATCTTTAATGTCAACGAACATTATCCCCTTTTGTCCACGAAAAACCGCTGTCTTGTTAGATACAACGGGCGCCCCATATTCTTCCTTGAGGTACTCTAACAGAGGAGCTCGTTCATAGAAGTAATGGTAGCCTTTCCGACCCTTCTTGCTTCCACTCCTTTCCGTTGTCACATTTAACACGGCGCTCATTCGCAGTATGCATGTGGCGTTCAATGGGAATTTAAGAACGCTTCTTTTACCCGGGAAAAGGTACTCTTTAACGTCCGAACCGTTGTAAAGCCCACCATTACGTTGATTGCCAAGATACATTTTTTGAAGGATGGAGAAACGTGGCAGCATTTCTGTACACGCAATGAAAGTGCAAATGTTTTGAATCATGAAAGAGGTAAGTGGCAGCCATTACATTAACCTCGGTACGAAAAGGAAAAAGATCACAGCGAGGCTCCCACTCAAAGTCAAAGCCTTCAAAGAATAATCATGAATGCACGTTACAGCTTTCGCGCGCGGATCTCCTCATCGCAAAGGGATGCGGGATTCGATTAGCGTTCGTTGGAAGAGTAAAAAGTAAACAGGCACCTTTTCGAAAAAGACCTTGGAGATATTTTAGAAAACTCAGGAGCATATCGAAGATTTCTTAAGTTCCTTTAAACAGACTTTTCGATCAAGTTTCCATCGGCCGGCTGCTTTTGTCGCATTTGATACGTCTCACTGGTTTAACTAAAAGGCGGTAGATTGGTATAAGGAACCAGACACATAATATTTTAAAGGCTGATAGTTTCGAAAGAAACTGTTTGGGGCTGCGTCGGTGGGAGTAACGAAATAATTTGGATATATCAACAAAGTTGAAATGGTAAATTAGCCACCGTAATGATTACAAAAGCTGACGTTTCGAGCGTTAGCCCTTCGTCGGAGCGAATAGAGGAATTGTGGGTTGTGTGTGCTTTTCTGCCTTTAAAAGCACACACAACCCACAATTCCTCTATTCGCTCCAACGAAGGGCTAACGCTTGAAACGTCAGTTTTTGTAATCATTACGGTGGCTAATTTACCATTTCAACTTTGTTGATATATCCACATAATATTTTAGCTTTAAGTTTTAGTATCATGAGACAATAGACATAAAAATTTGTTGTTACATCATGGTGGGGATACCAAATTCGGTCTCCTCGCACCGTAAGCACTCAATGAAATTAAAACCATCACGAAAGTAAACAAACTGCGCATTTGCAAAAATGAATAGAGCAATGCAGTATGGCACGGTTAAATGCATGTTAAAATGTTTCTCGAGCGCGGAAAGAATGTAGAAACGTTATTGCGATATCTATAGATGCGGCGCGGAAGAGCAAAAGTTCTAATTTGTTACCAAATTTAATTTGGTACGTGGTATAAGGTTTCCCGGGCCTAGCTTGAAACGCATGGAATAGCAGCTGGCGTCATTATTTTACCAACCAAAACCCTGCGATCACAGTGGTGAATAGCGGGATTACAAGACCTCACGAAAGGCTAAGTCGGACTCAGGAGATGTTTACATAAACACCGCTGCGCATAACCAACTTTGCGGCTGCCAACACCCACACTTACGGAGCTGATCGAACCGCCACAAATGGAGCATAAGAACATTTTAAATACTCACTGGTGAAGGTCACCGGTAGAGTAAACGCAAGGAGTATCGTCACCAACACCTTCATGTTGGCAGCTTCTCTGTGAAGTCTTTCTTGTCTTCCTCAGCGGAGAAACGCACGAAAATGCAAACCAACTCTTAAGAGTGTCGAAATGAGCTTTGAACGTTAGCAGCAGTGTAATAACGGAAAACATTTATCAATTATTCAGGAAGAATAATACGTTTCGTGCGGTTCCCCTTGGCATTGCAGGTGGCATTATTTATCTATCGGACAAACGGAAAATAAGTTTTGCATTTCGAGACTGTTTTAGTCCGTTTTCTGCAAATATGATGCTAGACAACAAATTCGTTGGAATTAGCACCTAAACTGTGCTTATAGAAATTAAGAGAGCTCGAGTCCAGGCTGAAGGCAAGAAAAATTATATCGTTAAACTGGAGAGAACTGGCAAAGATGGGTTAACAACTGGATGGTGTGAAACAGTGGCAGATCGTTCAACTCTACATAAACTATTCACATATCATTGTTACTCAGGGCGTTCTTCTGGCTGAGAGCCATACCACATCTTTATTTTACACAATACACGCACCTCAGCTTCACGACGGGATTCTCTGACAAGCCTCGACTGTACGGTTCCCCTCCTCAAACTTTGAGGTAAAGACATCAAAACACATCCAGTAAACTTTTGCAGAGAATAACGTCATCCCTGCGCACCGCATTGTCTACACTCGGACACCTCCAGATATTTCCGAGATTACTATTCGGTCGAACAGGTTATGTAACAGCATTTTTTCTCTGTTGAAGCATCAGTGTATTCAAACTCATCAACTGCCATTTATTCCCCACCCCTGTTACAAGAGTTTAAAGTTTTGCCTTCGTTTTCTCGTAGCAAATGGATGCCAAAAAAGGCATCAATTCCCATCTAATGTTTTCCACATATCCGTCACCTAGTATGAAAGATATTTCGTTGCGTATACGTGTACCTTTTTCTATTAAGTGTCTCATATCTACGACAAGCAAAATCAGGACCCAAGTCTGTACCTATCGATTTTCGAAAACATAATACGAGGTACTTTTCAGTAAAGAATGATATTTTATACTTTCGCATAAATAAAAATCCGCAAGTTGCTTATTTAACGTCAGTTCTACAGAAGCAAAAACGCCTCGAAATCAAGGTCATTCCGAGAAAAATGGAGTCAAACTTGATAAACATTTCAATATTAACAATAAAGAAATAAAAATGGCAACAACCTTTGAAATACAGTAAAATATAGCTTAACAAAAAAACTGAAATACACCGGAATAACCTCGACCGTAAATTTGATACAATAAATGACAACAGTACAAAATTTCAATCAATCACCATTTCGTACAATAAAAAAATAAGAACTTGTAAAGTATGACCGAAAATAATTTGACTTACCAAATATAAATTACTTGTGTATCAAGGCAATTTTCCAGACGCCTTCCCCACATTACAATATTTACAAAGTGGATTTTATCACTTACTAGAAGTCAAAGCAAAAAAGAGCATGCAGTAGTCTTTAAGTGATCGTTTGTGGGGTTAGCAGAACCCATTCTACGTGTGTAGCCGCAGAAGCGACATTCAGATTACTTCTGCTAAGACTGACTTGCGATGGTTAAGTTCATCTCTCAACGACTGCAACCATAAAGCGAATGTCGGCGGGTTCCCATTTACCAGGGGCGTCTTCCTCGTGAATAAACATTAGCGATTCTTCCTTTAAAGTCCATGGCGAACATTGGCCTGTCTGGCGATGACAAAAACTGTAATACCTCCCGCTCTGTCGGATTCTTGTTACAACCACATAGTGGTGCTGGCCATGTTTTCTGTTCTCTTTACTTACAATAACAGGGTAACCTTTTTTCAGAAGATCGATGATCAAGTTTGTCCACGAGTCAGCCTCGCCTTCATGGTATCCTTGGTGCATAACTTTAAGCTCTCGTCCCGGGACTTTCTCAAAGGCTTCCTTGATTCGCACCATATGAGCAGGGGAGGTTACTCCTGCACCATGGTGTGAACAATGCGATCCAAGCTCGAAAAATATCCGTTGCGTCACGTTTTCTACCGATGAGTCCATTGTTAGTGGTAAGTGAGCAGACCCATCTAGCAAATTACTCAGTGATCTGTAAATGTTACAAAAACTGAAAAGAATTAACTACAGCATCCTTTATTCATTCTCACACTTTGAAAATTCACGATGCCACTTCCGTATGTAGGGAGAAGAATACCTTCGGAGAGAGTGCATTTGGAATAATAAGGACTTGGGNGGGGGGGAGGGAGGAGGGTTTTAGCTCTTTTAGAATTACCCTGACTATGGCTACACATGCACCACACGATGTAAATGAACGCTACTCGATCAAACAACATCATTTACAACATTTCTTAACATTTTGCCTTTTTTCTCCCCCGCCTCCCCCCCCCCTCAAATCCAGTATATCCGCACGCCAACTTGGCTGCGTAACATACCGTCTCTGTCCGTTATGCTATATCACCACAAATACTTACGAATAACTTGAATTGTAGGTCCTAGCCGCCATATTATCGAAATAGCCGAGTACCTTTGCCCAAGCCACTGGCCCTGAACCCGTCGTGCACTGGCCATGATGATGCTGACGATACTTTGGGAACAACTCTTCATGTGGTATTCTATGGTGCTTGTTGGAGAAAGCGCGTCGATGCCTTCTACTCTTCAAAATAATCCCGTAGTTGATAACCATGGTCTGAGTCCCGCGGGTCCGCAGTTCTACTTTAAACCGTATTTCCCTTCCACCGAGGTGTCTTCGAACAAAATTTTCGTCTGCGTCAACTTTGACTTTAATAAAACGATCACCCTTCTTCGTCAGTTTGAAGAAACGTTTGCTAACCGTAGAGATATCTACATTTCCGTCACTATCACACAAATCACCCAAAACGCGACAAAGTCGTTTCTGCCAACGTTTCTTGCCGCTCTTTGCTTTCCTCCAATCACCATCCCGAAGGCCGACGAACTTGACATGGACCTCACGGAAGCCCTCACCGAGTGGAATCCGAACCGAGTCGCCCGGGTGTAGTCCCAGTTCTGCTTTGAAACCATCGTCCGTTTCTTCCACTTCGAAGTTATGTTCTGTTTCTAGGTTAACGGATGATTCCTGTGTTGGCGTGGTTGTGAATGGTTGAACTAGTGTGGTTGGTTTTGTGCTAACGTCTGAAAGAAAAAAACATTACATTCAAACGGAAGGCAATCACGTCCTGGCCTCTAAGGATAAGTCTTAGCATAAAATAATATAAATTGTGACCAAAAAGATCCTGTAGACTACATAACTGTTACTGTAAAAGACTGGCCTGGCGACAACCAATCCGGCGACGATCGGGTAACAGAAGGTTGATTGTTGGTCAACTGTCAGCGAACACTTTCGAGTTTTTAGCTCGGCTGTCTAACCCTCCGCCTGACAATTTCCCACATGAACGACAACAGACCAACCCAATTCTTACACATCATCCGTAATGTGTTTTTTCCCCAAAGAGAGTCTGTCTCAAGATTAAGGGGGGAGGGGAGATAAATCTGGCGCTTTTCTTTTATTAAAAGCTACTCATTCAATTTCCGAAAGTTTCGTGAGCCGCTAACTAAAAGTGTAGAGTAAAGTAATGCGGTGAAGTACATGGTGACATCAATCACCACTTACCTGCTATCGCCATGGACAACCACTCGAACCTGTTCCACTCTGGCATCTTTTTCAATCGTTCAGCTTGTTCTTGCCATTCTCTCTCCATGTTGGGTAACTCCCGAGTCACTTGTTTGTCCAGATGTCTCCAATCAATATCCTGTGCAACAGAAACAAATGGGAGCACGTCACTGAGTACATTTCTAACTACAGTCGAACCTCCACTAACGGCCACCTCTCTACAGTGGCCACCTCTCCACAAGGGCCACTTTTTTCGGCCCCGTCGAGCTATCCATACATTACACCCCTACCTCCCCATAACGGCTACCTCTCCACACCGGCCAATTTCTTCTGTTCTCAGACTAGCCGTTGTGGTGAGGTTCAACTGAGTTTTTCAGTTTGAATTTGGAATCATATCCAACAGAATACTCTGTCTGATATTTCTCTTTCCTCTATCACCTTTTTACACGGCGATGAATTGATATTACGAGGAGATGTAACCCACTGGTCAAGCCTAAAAGCGAGATGATCAAACCATCTCCTCACTAGCCCTCACAAAGGTTATAGCGTGATTAAATTATCGTTTTCTTTAATTCTTTAAAATTCGGTGCAAACATACCAAATAATCATAGTCTCTAGTGCGGTTTCTACGAAAGGGACAAATTGTTTCCGGGGTTGTCTACAAATACTATGCACGCCGGGGATGTCTCGCGCCCTAATTACTTCATTTGGTTTATTTTTTAAAAGTGTTTTTCTGTAGAGAAATTAGCATGAATTACCTAAATTCGGAGATTTCAATATCTGTCATTGATCTGTTTTTTTTTTTTTATGAAGCACCGTCAGTTTTTAATTTAGCTAAATAGTTTTAACGATAGGGTTGGTGATACTAATCACCGAAATCCTGTGTTAATCCCTAAAAACATACTTACAAATTAAGCATAATCTTCGTTAATAATTTCAAGTATGTCAAAAGTGTTATCGGGTTACTTAATCCACTAATTAAGCGGCTGAGAAAGCATTAGCTTCAATTATCTTGGACTGTAGTCAACTCTTAAGATTCTCATGTCATAGAAGTCCTTTCTCGGTGAGCCTGTTCAATTTCGAAGGCGTCCTCGATTACGATTTCCGTTTCAGACCTGTTTGAAAGCTCAGGAAAGCTGTGACCATTGCTTAATAAATACTTGCGCGATGCCTTGTTGTCAATGTCTTTGTCTCCCAAAAGGTTTGATTACTGGTCTTATCTGGAAGGCCTTCAAGAGTACCTCGGCACTCGACACAAATGTGAGACACGCGTTTGAAAGTAGAAACGCGCGTGGGACTTCTGTCCCTCGCGTGTGCCGGTTTGTATTGCCCAACAGCAGTTGCTCGTCGTTTTCATTTAAATCGTGGCTTTCTCATAAATAGGCTCAGAAAACGGGGAATAAATGGTACATACCGTAGAATCTGTATCAATGTTCCTTGTGATAGCGACTATTTTGTTTACATCAGTATCTTCACATGCCATGAGACCATCCGGTCTCAGTCGATAGACTCTGTGACAGCCATACCCATTACTGTTGGCTTGGGCTGTTAGTATATCTGAAGGACTTGGCAAAGATCCTTCTTCGGCGAGACGATGATCTCCCGTCTGCCTTGCTGTACAAAAAACAAAACTTCATTTATCATTCAGCTCTTCATTTTCATGTTCTTGCCAGCAAAAGTCAAGAGTTCCAATCTAGTGCTATTCCAGCTAGTTTTGTTTAACCATAACATGCTGGGCCCTTCTGGATGCTGTAGCTGATAAGTACTAAGTCCCAATTTAAAACTTTAAGTCCTATTCTCAGCTTATTTAGAAATGTTTTGATAACCAGGTCCTCTCACCACACAGCAAGCAAAAGAGCCTATTAACCACACATTCTGCTGTTCTGCTAACTACTTCGTAAAGAAAACCCCCATATGTTTAGCTTTACAAAATAAAGCTATGTTGGAACCGAAATAGAGGCTTTATCCCCACTGTATTCTGGTATGTGCTCTCTTAGTTTGTCTAAGTACATTTAATCCAAATAAATAGGATATTGGCACCTTAAATTTATTTATTTATTAAATTTGTTAAAAGTGTTCTTTATCTAAGCTTTTTTAAGCAAAGATTAGCTCTACAACTTAACAAAGTTGTTCAATAATGTAACCAGAGTTTGTGCCCGCAATATAGAGCTGTCGGCTGATAAGGGGTACCTAAAATCCCTCATTCCAACTAGAAAGTTATATATTATGTATGAACACATACCAGCTGAGATGATCACATATTTTTCTCCAGTTTTTCCATTGATTTTTGCTTCCCAGTATGCAACATAATTATGTGGGAGATCCTTTCTGAAGATGGGCCTTAAACCCATAATGTCATCTTGACTGATAGCATCTGACAAAGTGTAAAATTCCTCCTGAGTTTCCCAAGAAACATCATCTGTGCCACACCAAAATGTATTGATGGATTCTGAACTATTTAATACCCTCGGAGGAACTGTAATCTTAATGCCATCTTCACCATATTTCCATTCATTGGGTCTGTTTTTGTCCCTGTAAATACAGAATAAAATTAAATAAAAACTGAGGGTCAAGATGGATTGACAGTTGCTCCAAATAAATTTGTAAAACAGTTATATAAATTTTTCTTTTGTTCAATCTTGTTCTTAGTAATTGAATCACTAGTAATTAGATTAATACTGTCCACCAGGATCTTATAATCAAAACAAATTTGCCAGAAATTTCCACAATTCTAAATTAAAAGCTCACGTTTTTGTGCCCCTTTATAAACAAAGATGGCATACATTGAGTGAAATGAAAGATTGATTCTCTATTTGTTTAGAACTCTGTATCTTTCCCCTTTTGATATTGCCTTTTCCCCCCTTTTGAGGCAATGCACTGTAATTCTGCATGGAGGAGTACAAAGCAAGAGAAATCTCCTGAGACCCTCCCCCCAAGTAGTGGAATGTGACCAGGATCAGAAGGAGATACTTATACTAAAGCTGATGCATGAAGGAGAACCATATGATAACACTGACATAACTCTATCAGAATTTTCTTTAAGACATCTGTTTTAACTTACTGGTTATACCACCTTAAGACCTCTTCCTCCAGATACAGGTCTAGTAAGTCTGGTGGGGTCAGTATCTCAAGATTGCCCCCTTTTGCTCTTTTTTTTTTTTTTGCTGAAGAGCTAACGCTCAAAACATCAGCTTTTTAACTCTTAACGGTGGCCAATTTACAATTTCAACTTATTTGATATTACCAAATTACCTGCATTTAACAGAGGCTGGCTAACCCAGTTGCCAAGAGCCCAATTTTTACAAAGTCCACAGCCTTACCAAGGTAAGAAAATTCCCCATATACACACCCAACATAGTTACCATGATGACACAAAATGTATTACATACATACATATACTTTATTTCATCTCGAATTTGGAGTAGCTAAAAGATAAGCTAGTATCTTCGAGTTACAAGTATAATTCTAAATACTACTAAAATATAAAATGTAAAATTGTAACATTCTACAATTTAACTATGACAAAGAGTCATACTGTAGAATCTTGTGCTTGAAATCAGAAAAGTCAGACATTCTAAAAGAATCCGGAAGAGATTTCCATAGTTTTGAAGCCATAATATGAAAAGGAGTGAAGACCATAAGTAGTAGTTTTTGTAGATGGTAGAGACAAAATATAATTTCCGCGTAGATTAGAGGATACAGACCGGAAACTAAACATATTCCTTAGATAGCCTGGATAGCAGTTAAAAAAAAAAGCCCTTGTACAAAATTATATAATTAAGAAAGTCTGAAGGCCTCTTTTATACAGAGATTTGGAGTTAACTTTGCTAAGTAGAGAGTCATAGGAAGAATTATAATCCTGCAAGATAAATCTAAGAATTCGCTTGTTTAAAGTATCTATCTTCTCAGTAATATGCGCACCACAAAAGTGCCATACAGATGAACAATAGTTAGAATGTGGCATAATAAAAGTCTTATACAATCTTAGTAGAGCATCTTTAGAGATAAGTTTACGAAATCTTAGCATTACATTGAACTGGCCACTTATCTTCTTACAAATAGTTGATATATAATTATTAAAATGCAACCTATTGTCAATATTTATTCCAAATATATCTAAAGAATCTTATTGCAACTTGTTTATCAAAAATTTAGGGGAAATTTCTTATGTCCACAGGATTATACCTGTATTCAGTACCCAGGGTGATACAAAATCAATAAAATAAGACTTTCACTTGAACCAAGCTACCCTACTCCCCAGCTCCCATGAGAGGACCCTTTAATATTTCCTCTCATCCTTTGATATTCCTGCTATTGTAACATAAACTGGTATGTGCCTCACTATTCAATTACAAACTTATCTTTTGACAGGCCACTGAGTAGATCCATTTGTAGATAATTTTAATCCATAATGAAAGTCCTATAAAACAATGTCTGACAGGTTTCTTCATTAAATTGTGTTGATTTCATCTTGAGCAGAATAAAAATGCCACTGATACAGACATACAAGAGGCTTAATCTGCACAGACAAATTACTTTAAAAGCTAAGTTTACTCTTTTATCTGGTTATGCTTTAGCTTAATTAGAAAGGTAAATAGTATACCTTAATGGGTATGTAAAGAATTTCCCATTTAAACATTTCTCTGGTTACAATCTTGAGAAAGTTCTGTTTCAAATTTTTATTAAATGTTTAGCATCAGAACAAAAGATCCTTGCTGCAGAGACAGTTAGATGATAAAATCTATATCCTTAACTTTTTTAAAAGAAGATGTAACATACACTTGAAGGGTCCAAACAAAATGTAGAGAGGGCTTGATTCAAACCCTTCATGGCACTCGGTTCTGAGTTGAAATGATGTCATCTGATCAACTTCTGGAATTCAAACCCTATATATCCGTAACAACCCCCAAAGCAAAAATCCACTTATAGAATCCACTTATGGAATTAAGACTAAGGCTCTTTCAGAAAACCAAAGCCATTTGACTTATGAGTAAAAATCAGCGATGCTAATTCGATTTCTTTGGTAGCACTAGCTTTAGAAGACAATGACTAGGAACAAAACGAAGCGTTTCTCTTTGAAATTTAAATGCTTTCCGACACAAAGAAATAAAATGCACTTAATGACTTAATTACGCAGCATCTTCCGTTGTTCGAAATCAAAGAGAACTTCAAGAAGATGCACCAATGAGGTCTCTGAAATTAATCGCAGCCCGGATGATCACGGAGGTGTAAACAGAGGGTAGAAAGATCGCAGAGGGTTCAAACCCAAGAAGGTCTGTTAGGCATTGCCCGCTTCAAATTTGAGCGACTCAGAACATTAACTGCATGCAAGAACAACAGGTCTTTTGTCGTCGTCAACAGAGAAAGGACTCCAGTAATTTGTAGGTTAATTTCGTAGTCAATAAGAGTAATTAGGCGACGCATCAAAATGGACATTCATTGGTCGAGTAGTGGTGAAAGTAGTGGGGTTCCATCAGATAACATGAAGTGCTGAAGGCGCTCGCAGTGATCTTTAATACGCCGACATATTAAATTTACCTTTTATCTTTAAGAAAATTTCTTCCGCAAAATAAAACATAGGTTTCCACATGCAAGTATGAGCTTGGGATGCATCAGCGGTCTCCTTTACTTTTATCGCCTCAATGACACCCATGAGACAAGCTAAACAGACCTTTTGTGTTTGAAAAATGACAACCTTCGATAACTAAAATACAGTTCTCGGCGGGAATTGAGTAAAGCAATCATGCAGCGTGAAATACAGTATTTATGACGCTGCAGGCCAAGGTTACGGGAGAGTGCATACGCTATAAACATAAAAATTAAACGTTGCATATTTGATATTGATACTTCACGATCCCCAAAGTGTTTACAAACCCGCTTTACTCAAGAAAGACCACTCACCGGTTTGATTTCTCGATTGAGTAGACAACCAGAAATCCTACCAGCAACACCACTAAAAGAAGAGTTACGAAAACACACGTCCGCGGAGATCTTCGTCGTTCTCCACTTGTAAATTCTACCACGACTGGCTCCTTTGCGACTTCGGCGTTACTTTCGTCGTCCATGTTGACTTGCATCGATTCGCCAGGCGGCGGCTTTTCGGCGACGGGTTTTGTGACTGCCTTAACCATTTTAAGTTCCGTTGAATTTACTTGCTATAAAGGTTTCAAAGTACAGCAGACTTAAACGGAGACTCCTCGGGCAATCGTTTGACTGCACGTTTACTCTGATACATAATTTATAAAGCCTTTGATATTTGATCTCTACCTCTTGATTGTGAAAGTGTGAAAAATTGACAAGCCAATCAACAGCTCTGGAGCCGGAACCGGAAATAGAAAAAAAAAACAAGTTCGCAGTCGTGCGCACATCGGGGCTACTCAAGCGCGCGGAGATTTTTCCTTTTTTTTTTTTTAAAGAAGATTTATTTCAAATAAAACAGATCTGAAAAATATTTTTTTCAACAATTTTTCTTTGGATACGAAGGAATGTTCATGAGGAAGTTTCATAAAAGCTATGAACATGTCAATGAGCAGATTCTAGTAACTTGCGAAGCAGATCATGTGCAGCAGGAGTCAATGGTATAATCATATTCACTGTTTTAAAGATAATTTAGTAGTAAAAGTTAAACCAAATCAAATACGAACCTTTTTCGTTGTAGTTCTTGTCTTTGTACTATTTTGCTGTAATGTTTGTTTGTTTGTTTTTTACTAAAAGGAAATTTTTTAATAAAAAAATGCTGTCCAACTCGTTGAAAGGTCTACTAAGTTTGTATTTGCATTTGCTTTTCAAAGAATAAGACTTCCGTTGATCACTTATTGTAGATAACATTCCTTTCCCCAGGGCAAAATCTGTGGTAAGAATTAGCTGATCAGTTTAGTTAGAAAGGTGAAAAACAGGAAACCCACGTAAGCTGAAAACAAAGAGTTTTATCGTCAAAGAAGAAAAGTGAGTCCCATTAGAATTATCTTTAACTACAAGATATCCCAATCATTTAGAATGAACATACGTGCCAGTTCATTTGAGTTTCGATCCGTATTATCTTGAAGGTTCAATGAAAAGTAGCTTCCTTTTGGCTAAGTTCTGTTTCAAACATTTCAGAGGGGAAGACCGAAAGAAAAGGAAAACAAACAACAACAAAACCACTTATAGGAAGTGGTCGACTCAACTGAAGTCAGTGATTTCCGCCATTCCGGATATATATTTTTCAGAATATACTTCATAGATACCTCAATTGAAACTATATTTTGAACAATGTTGATATTAACAGTTTAGGGGCACGAGTTAGAACTGATCGAGCAGAGAATTATTTTAGAGATTAAAAAAATAATTTTGACAAATATACCAGAGTTGTAGTTTAGAAAAGTAGCACGTAAAGAGGGTGTCTCCTAATTAAGTACTACATAATAGTGTCAATGGCATACGCCTCTCTTATTGCACTAATCAGTTCGTGTAGTGTTAGCTGTATGGAAAACATTTGCTTTATGCGTTAAAAATAATTGTCAGATTTTGGCTTCCATTCATTCACATAACGAGTTCCACGTGTGTAAATTGAAAGTTGGTTCACCGCGGGAAAGCACGCTTCTACTGCACATACGGAACATCTTAGCTTTCCTTTTACGTCCTTTTATCAAAATATGATGCTTTCAAGTCTTAAAAATGTCGTACTGTACATTGAGTCATATCAGAGTGAATCCTTCTGATCTCCAGAGTGGTCAATCTTTTGATTACTAGTCAGTAATAAACCTTCCATAAGCTTTTCTCTCGCGGCTCTACTTAAAAAGTTGGCTGCAATGTATTTCAATCATAAACAAATTAATCGCCAGGTAATTAATAATTGCAAGCACTAGACGATCAGACGATGATAAAAACGGAACGGAATGCCGCAGGAATATAATAGAACAGGTGAAAGTGACTGTTGTCGGTGGTGCTGACTGACGTTTCGACCATCTGTGCGGAAGTCATCATCAGAGTCAAGTGAATAGTTGTTGTCAGTAGAATAGAACAGGCAAGGCTTTTAAATCATCTGCTGATGTTGATGAAATCGACTGAGTGAACTAAACGATGGGCGAAGTGGACGGTGCATGCCTTACAAAGAAAACAAAAACCGGTGTTATCGTCGCAGATTAAAAGGGATACTGCCAGTTCACAACTGAGGTAAGGTCAGTGACGAGTGATGGTAGAAGCTCCCATATTCCATGCAAACGGCTGGAACAATTAATAACAGCGTCAACCAGACGCCTGCGAGTTTCATCGTGTCATGGATCTCTCTATTAAGGTACAATAGAGGTTTAAGCAACTTTCATCCGTTTTAAATCATTTACATATGATGGTCCTGGAAGGTTCTGTATTTTACTGATAGCTAGGAGGAAAATTGCTGTAATCTATTAAAGGATCAGGGGTAAGGTCCAGACGTACCAAGGCATTGAATGACTTCTCCTCCTAATTTCATTGCAGTTGATTGGAGTTTGATAAAGGTTCTTGTAAAGTTCCCGGCTGTCGCGTGCTTCCCCACTGCCGATAGAACCTTGCTTTTGAGAGGGTTTACAGAGTTTCTGTCGTCATGGTGACCCTCCACAGCATTCTGAAATCAATGAGTAAAAAGTAGGAAAATGATCTGCACAGGATTAGGAAAATTGGAAATTACATCAGTGGCTGCAGTTTCACAAATAACTGCTTTTACAGCCTACGACTAACCAGAACACTCACGTGTTTGCCATAATAGGTGGCTCGATCTTTGTTTCAAACGTTAACGGCCCTTCCTTTGTTTCCCGCATGCGCGAGGAAGTTGAAGCAATAACCGATACTCCAGCAGCGTTTGTTTTCAGGAGATCCACGATACGTTCCCAGATGAAAAAGATGTTCTAAGCAATCATTCGAGACAACGAAAATATCATACAGTTTGCACTTTCGGATACTATATGGATCTCGTTGCGTTGGGCACTCAGCTGAAACCTCGATTAAAGGTGGTAAGTTCCAAGAGAAACTGTAGGGCTGCGTGGACGGGGGTTTTTACAAGATAATTTGGTTTTTCATGACTCTACTGAGTTAATAATGTGAATCGGCCACCGTAAAGGGATTTTAGATATGACTTTTGAGCATTACTGAGTCCTTCAACAGAGCGAATCGAAAGACGAAGACGAAGACGAAGACAAAAATGAAGACAAAGACTAACAGCTAACGCTCGAAACGTCACCTTTAGAATCTGAGTCCTTTACGGTAGCCAGTTCATATTATCAAGTCAGTTGATAAGACCAGATTATCTGGTAAAAACCCCGAATACAATGTTCCTTCCAAGTAGAACTATCATAAGCACAAGAACAAGTTAAAAAGCTCTCACTTTTGAAGCAAAGCTGTTGATTTTCAAACAGGGTGGGAACCTTTGTTCAAATTTCTCTGAAGTACGATTCTTGATCATAAATCCTTCCCTCGGGAAAAAAACCAGATTGTCAAATACCTCAAAAGAGTAGACACGAGAGGGAGGAAGGAGTCAGGGTTTCCTAACACAGAGTTTTAATTCTCGCTTCTGTCATTCTAATGTTTGTGGTAGCAAGCCTTTGAGACGTTTAGCTGAGTCATCAATTTGCTTATCAGTTAAAATGCAAACTGCATTTTGGTAACTGGAAGCATGAGATCAGTGTTTCCTCACGCAACCTTTTCATAACTCAATGATTTGGCTGATTTAGCTGCACTTGCATCCGTACACAAGAGAACAGTGCCCTTGCGTTTTCATACATCTCATGTTGAGTATTTGTTTTGTTATAATCATTTCATCAACAATTAACAATCCTAATGGGCTCATTCAAAATGGTGATGAAGGCATTTAACGTAAAAAACTTGCACCCCTCTACGAATCCTTCAAATCTTGCGTAAGTTTCATTTTAGAAGTAGTATCCCACAGATATTTACTGATGGGCACTCTCTGGGGTCTTAAACAAGGAGTTTAAAATAATGGCTATCGATTGCCAAGCCTTTCGTGGTACAATTATCCAATTTTTCCAAATTTATACCCATGGGGAAGCGAGCCTCGTTGTAAATTGCAAGAGTCTTTGTATAATACTCCTTTCCTTTAATCGATCACTTTAAACCGATGGTTTGCTAATTATTCAAAAAAAGGTGGGGTGCAAATGGTAGAAATAGACACATGATAGGTTTTTTGTAACAAAACAAAATTGTATTTACATCTAACTTATTGTTGTTGTCGACCACGAGACAAATCAACAATACCCAGCTAAGCAATGATGAGTAACACATCATCATTATGCAATGTGTACAAACAAGTTTTTCGTAGTCATTACAAAAATGAAAACGAATTTCAAATATTCAATTGTACCTCGCGTTCCCTTGAAGGACCCTATAAATTTTTCACGACTTTTTGCATGATTGATATTCATGATATTTCACCTGTCGGAGATAATCTTCTGGCGGCATAACTCTTCCGCTCTCTCGAGATACTAATAATAATTACTGTAAGGGGCCGAGTCACGATTGAGGATATTCCTTTATCTGTTTGGTAAGTGTTTTGATTTAAAATTCAATTTAACTTCATCCATTTTTTTTTCACAAAAGTTTGATCATGATTTACCAGTGTATTTTATATCGCGTGCGCGTCGAACTCGCTAAATACGGATTCGACGAAAGATCATGATTGTTTTTTATGTGTTCCAAACGATTTTGCTTGGAATTGATTCCTTGCGGTCAGTTGTGACCCTGAGTGGAGACAAATTAGCCAGCATGACTACAAAAATGCTGAATTCGAGTAAAACTTCTTAGAACGTGGAGAGTAAACAAAAACAGTTATTTGTCACGACCAGGTTTAACTTGTAATTGCGAAGTTCGTTTCGATACATATCAAGCATTAGATATGATTAAAGATTAATAATTAATTTCGAAAATACTGTAAAATATATGTATGTATACATACATATACCTATACCATAGGGAGCTTTTAGATTTTCATTCCAACTTATCCTTCTCTGTGTTCCTGGTATTTGTAACTCTATACGCGTTTACTTCACTGGTGCAAGTTAAAACAATCAGCGTAGCCTCTTTGTAGTTTTGTACGTATCATAACAACACCTTGATAATGGAAAGTCACTTTATATCAACGACACATGATATTGCAGAAAAGTGTAAAGGTTGCAATTTTTCGGGTAGTGTGTGTGCAATAAAAAAGGTCATTAAAACAGCCTCGTTTAACTTGCAGAACCTATCAGATGATGTGGTTTTCTTTTTCTGTATTTGAAAGACCTTAACGAAATGTTAGGAAAACAGTTACTATGGGTAACATGAAATCGTTTTTGGAATGGCCCGAGAGTATTTCTCTGCTAAGCCTCGAGCCAGAAATTGGCGAGGTTTACAGTCTTTCACCTTAGTTGTATGATGCGCTTTTTTAACTTCACACTTAGTTAACCAAAGAAAATTCCTGTGGCAAAACTGCGCAAACTTTGCGTGATTACAATGAAGTTTAACGCGGGTGCAAACAAAAGATTCTTCAAAATATCTTCCTGAACTGATAAAATGTAATGTTAAGCTTTTATCAAAATGATTTCCTCTTGCCTTCATCTGCAATAAAAATAAGAAGATTTTTTCAAGACGATGAAATAAACCAACAGCAACATTTTGAGTCTTATTCTTAAAATTCTCCAGGCGAACTCGAACTAATTGATTGCAACCCTTTTAATTTTGATAAAGAAAGAAATGCTAATATAGATAGCTTTACTAATTAAGGATGACAGGTGAGTGTTTTATTTTGATCTATCAATTTTTTAACAAACCATGCTTTTACAGAAATATTTTAGCCCTGAGTGTATTGAAATTAAGTTTTTAGCTATTTTTGCCTATCGATGTCACTTATTGCTATTACTCTTATTTATCGAACGCGGATGAACGAGGATAAACACCCTTACTGTACGCATATTCAAATGAATCCTTGAAATGTTTTTAAGACGAATTTTTTATGAGAATTTCTCGCTCCTTAGTGATTATCCTTCCCGAATTTTATATGACTTTGCGCCGATTAAAAGCAAAGGTTGTTTTCAGACGCTAAATTTTAATACGCTGTTCAAGGTTTTAATTTAGGCATCGGACGCTTTGACGACTTCTCCATACGCATTGGGCTATATAATTGAGCAACACTGCCCGAGGAAGTTGGAATAGTCATTTAGCAGTTTGATATGATAAACTGTTTCGTTTAGCATATATTGACAATGACAGCTGCCGGAACCTTTCGCTCCTCCACTAAAATTTAGAGGATATTATTACGCGCACTACTGAGCAAGTCGCCAGTCAGCATAGGTATGCAGAACGAGAAATTCGCGCTCCGCATGGGTAGAGGAGAAACAGGGTAAGTATTCAAGTACGGTGTTAAGAAGAAGCCATAGGTTTAGTAAAGAGATATTAAACAGGTATGCTGCTACATGCTGTTCGGAGGGGGACTGGGTAAATGAGCCGTAACAAATTTACATTAGTTGTAGTTTTAATACAAAATGAAATATTATACAGTTGCTTATACATTATTTCATGAATCTATGCTGAATACTCACACCTCAGCTGACGGTTGATCTCAATTTAAGCCTCTTCTTATATATACGACCGTGTATCTTTAATAGATCCTTAGTTGGGTTTCATATGGGGTTATAGGCTTCCCCTACCCTGTCACCTTGAAAATTAAGTTTCCCGGAAGACCACGTCTCCGATCACGTAAATCACATCTTCGATTGCCGTGTTGCCAGCATGGTTGTCCTGATAGTGTAGTGGTCATCACACCCGACTAGTAACAGGGGGACGAGGGTTCAAATCCCGCTCAGGGCAAATTTTATTTTCAAACATTTATTCTATTTATATATATATAACACTGGGCGAGCTTCGTTGACCAAAGTAATGAGCTGGCCAATTATGTGGAAATTGAATGAAAACGTAGGGTTATTATCACAATTTTTCGCACACGTGTAAACCGGCTTAAAAAGGTTCATCCATTTATCTTGTAACAAAATTTGTCGGAGCATCTCGTGTAACAATATCTCCAAGGGCTTACTACGCTCGTTGTGTCAGAACACTTTCTTAGTAAAGGAACTCGGTCCGTCGGAATACATTTTAGAGAAAGAACGGCAAATTGAGCGTTTTTCTAGCAATTATTGCACAGTTTTCGTCTGTAGCGTTTAATACCAAAACAAAGGCTTCCTGATTGATGGATTTCGGTCAAAGCAAGGGGGAGGTAGTAGCCCGGTTCGCGTCGGAAAAAACGTCTGTTTAGCTTCAGCGAACCTCTATTACAGTTACCATGAGGGCGCGTGTTCACAACTTACTAACTCAAAAACTCAAGAGACTACGTAGATTTGCACGTGGCTGTAGCATTTCCTGTGCCTTTTTATTTTGATAATGATTACGTTTGCCGTTTCAAGTAGCGAGTGAGAACAGCCAAAGTTATCCGGCGTTAAGAAAGCTCACTGAGTTTTCGAGTCGAGCAGCTGCTGTTTCCAAACAGGGAAACAGTAGGTCAAATGAAGTCGTAATGGGCTTTTTACCGTTTGGGTTAAGCCCTCAGCAGTAACTTTACTGGATAACAATTATCTGATTTGATGTTTAGGAGCCAAACATGATAAGATTTTCAATAGCTATAGCGTGCCAGTTAAACCACAAATTATTTGTTTCTGAAGCCTTTCACGGTTTCCTCCGAGCAATATCATGGAAAAATTGACCGACAAAAGAACCCGGCTGAGTTAGTATATTTACCAGCGCCAAGTATGAAGTGACTCCGAGCTGCCTCGGGCAAGTTCAATAATGTTTAATTGCTCTCAGAGTTTTACCTTAACAATGAATTGAGTAATAGTGTTTTTGTGGCTAAAAAGCACAGTATGGTGCGATGCCGAAAAATGTTTGATGGGTTCATAACACACAGATGCGAATACTTAAAAATAACCTCTATAGACAATTTTTTTACTGTGGACGTTAAAAATCGTAGAAATTTCACAAGTTGTTCTTGTGCCACCAGCAAAAGCGCGCGGAGAATTATTACTTATTCCGTTTTAAGCTTTTGAAATATGACTGTCCTCAGTGACTCCAGAGTAATTGTACACTCCATTATTGGTCCGCCTTACAGAAAAAAGTTCTCTTCTGTTTTTTTTTTTTAGAAGACTTTTAGAAAATGTCTTCCAAATAAGATTAATAATGAGCTGGTGAAATCAAAGACTGGCACCAAATCGATGTCAGTACTCAATCACTTTAATACATTATGTCGTTGTCAATCTCCTCATGGCCAATAAGCTGACAAAATACTCAGGTAGATTGTCGAGAATTTCAAAAATATTCTCGAGATTCTTTCAGCTTATCCCTTATTTTCAAAACAGCTTTTCAGGTGGTACTAAGGCCTAGCTGCTGCTTTTATCAACCTGCTGACAACATGACACACAACAAAAGAAGTTTTTATATTGATAAATTTGAATGATTTTTTTCCGTGGTACATGCAACCTAAGAAATTCGCTGAGTTAAAGTTTAAAGTTTTCAGGTTTATTTGTAGGGAACTCGAAGAAGATACCTCTTATGATGGTCTGCAAAAGATATTTTCATTGTTCGTTCATATCATAAAGGAAAACGTTGAAATACAATAAACCGAGCTGAGTGTGAAAGAGGATCCCTATTATGGCTGGAAAAACTGCTTATTTGTTTCTTTGCTATTTTGTCTCATCATGATTAATAATACAGGATATCTAATGGCCTAACAGGTGTAGATATCTATTACGGCTGGTGCCTTTTTGAAAAGAACGCGACTCATACGGGCCTTGCGCGGCAACCTGTCCGTAGAGATTATTTTGCCTATTCACTTACACCCACGTGTCCTAAAAAGACCACTTGTTCAATACCATACTTTGCAATCGATCTGCTCTGACCGCTGTTGCGCGCGCGCGTGTGAGGGGACCTCCACCAGTCTCAGTCCTGATTTCGATTGCTTTGGATGTATGTGGTGCTGACAGTGTTGGACGGTAAGAACCTTGCCATTAGATTTCAGGTATTAGTGAAAATAGCCCATATAACCAAAACGTAAATGCAGTGTAAATACCACCGTAATTCGTATATAGCGCGCGTTCTTTAAGGACGTTAGCAACAGCATCTGTAGGTAGGGCTTAATTATATACTAGGTTATTCATGGCTGCCGAAAAGAGAACAATTAATTAATAACCTTACTCATGACAGAAAGAGTAAAATGACATTAATCCTAAAAAGCCACGAGTTTAGCTCAGCTGTAAAAGTCTGAACTCTCAGTACATTTTTTTTCCCAGTGGGTATGTATAAATGAAATGTTTTACATCAGCTTGACCCTATAGCGTTGATTTCCTCCGTTCGATTGGTTAGCACGCGTCGCATTTCTAGGTGAAAGGCGCGCCGCCGCCAGTCAGTAGCTGCTATGAGCCTGGCCGACACCAACCAAATCAAATGTTTTTTTTATTACGGGGAGGTACTATCGTTAACATTTAGTTTCGCGGTATTTCTAATTAAACTCCAGTTGTGTTTCTTAATGTTTAGATGGCTCAGATTGATAATCTGCTAATTTTTCCATTGCCCCTAAAAGCATTCAATGACTGTAGTTTCTTCAAACGGGGATAAATGACATCCTGTACAAGCCTTGAAGACCATTAGCCGGCAGAACATGTCAAAAAACTCGACTATTATTTTCCATTTATCAGAATGTTAACCCGCAGGTTCTCATTTGTCGAATTAAATGGTTCTTTCAAGCAGGTTCACTTATTACGAATTCATTAGCAAATGGCGAGATTCTAAAAGGAATATAAGCTTTATTAATTTTCGCGCGGAACGGATGACGTCACGATGTTATTTTTACTGGAGAAAATTGGATTATTATATATCTTCGCCTGTCAATATCATATATTTCGCTCAAAGAACACGTCCTTTCTGATATTCGTTTTCTTTAATTCCGAAACTTTCTTACTCACTGTTTTCGAAATCTTTTCAGCTTGGTACGCTTGTTTGTTATCACGGGGGACATATTTCAGTTATGAAACCATCCATTCCGTGAATAAAGTAAATTCATTATTTTATAGATTACATTACTAACTAGATACGGCATTTTATCCCGTAACCCACAGGCTACAATCAACGTATTTAACACCTTTGAAAGGCCATGCTTTGTGCACATGGCCTTTCGCCATTGGCACACTGATGAGTACAATACAAATGATCGAGTTACCCGGCCCGGCTTTTTCTAAGTCAAACTAGCGTAACAGGTAATGGGCCGATTTGATTTAAATGTGTTTCTCAGTCCCTTTGTAAATAATGCCACACCTGGCCTGTTTTTAATTTGCGGCGAGAATTGATATAAAAATTTTTTATATATATAAAGCCGCGCGCATGTACCGCTTGACAAATTAATTTTGATCTTTCTCTCTAGTCATCAAATTATGACCGAGATGTTCGGCTCGAAAGATGACTTCAGTTGCCCGAAATTTGCGACGGCTGAGAGTTACATTGGAATTTTGTCAACTTATCGCGGAAGGATACATCACTCCAAACTTGCCCGTAAAGGCCCGGATTCAACGGTGAGTTTGACCAAGGGAGTGAGAGCCGCAATTTTATTTCACTGCCGCTTATGTAAACACTATTGAATGCACACACCCTGTTGGTATTGTATGGCGATTAGAGATGTCAAATTGTGCCATTTTATACCTCAGAATCCCTCTTTGTCATGTGCGACATGAACTAACGCAGTGGTGGAGCTCGGAGGGGACCGATGGAATTGGCCTTAATGTAAATTTTTATCCTGAAAGTTTTTTAACTTGTAGAGAACAGATTAATGCTGGTCTTACTGTTATCATTTTGGGTGAACTCCACTGAGATCCAACGAGAAATATGCGCTCGCGTTCACGAAAAATTATTTCTCGCGCGGTTGATTTCTGAGACCGTTCCAAATATTTTGGAAAAAAAATTATAAGAATTAAGGAAAACTGGCCGTGATTAATTAAAGCTGTGATCATTAGGAAAATGTTGGCCATGGTTATTAAGTTTGCTTATCCAAGCTGCGTTAGTAAGGAGCTCATCAAACTAAATTGTTTTGACGGCGCAAATTGAAATGTATCTTATATGGATTTTAGGCCGCAGTGAATGCCATGGAAAATTATTAATTTGATTGGACACAACTTGAGCTAAACTACACTCTAATATTTGGCATTTCCTTTCCCCGTGGCTTTTTTAATATCAGTCACAGGCTGACAAACATAAGTGCTTCCGATGTTTACAAAAGAATATCATACTTTATTTTTTCAAAGTTGTTGCATTTAATATGTAGATTTCCCTGGTAACAATAAATTCGCCGATTGCAATGTAACGTACAAATTGTCAAATCCCTTTCGAAGACGACTTTCTGTTAGCATATTGACATTTATAAAGGGTATATAGATTCGAGCATTGAAGAGAGCTTGACTAATCTTCATAGCCAAGAGATTAACATTTTTGTCGCTGTTTATCTGACAGGAAAAAACAAGACAAATAAAAGATCGTTTCACCAAAATAGATACAGGGTCTAGCTTTGTATTCTAATTGGAGCATTCTGGCGTAACAAGTATTAATAGGAAAGAAGTTTTCTTATCGCACGGGTGGAAGCTTTCATTATTATTAGCGCGCGAAAACAGTCAGAGATAAGGATAGAGAAGTATTACTTGATTAATTATCGCCAAGCTCTTGCATTTATAATTCGCAGCTGCTTTCAATAATTCTATTCTTGTTTGAGGACAGAGAAAAAAAAACACAGTTACGCTTTCTGAATTAATCGAACTTCGAAGATTTCAACGAAAGAAAAAAATAAAGTTACGATTTCATTTCTAAATTTGTGATCAGTGGACTGGTGGCGATGTTCGAATAGAGACGAATGCGTTTTCTTTTGCAACCACACAAAGCCACCCATATCGCAAAAACAAAGATGATTAATTTTTTTTCTTTTCTAAAGGCTGAGAAGCTGAAAATTAATAATACGGAAAGAACAACAACAATTTTACAATTTTGGGACAAAATAAACCGAGATCCAGGGGAGACAAACCTTTTCAATTTCTTTTGTTGACAATTTTTGAATGCATAACAAATAGAAATGCTTGAAGATGGTTGATTGAAAGACGATCCTTTATTAGTTCGGGAAAGAATTAATTGTAATCTCCAAAAAACATTAATAAATACAATGATTAATTCCACTGGCGCGTCGAGTTTTATGGTCACGTGGCCTAACTTAATTGGTGATAATTAATTACAGTGAGAAATCGAATCTGCTTGGCGGACATTGCGCATGTCATAATTGTTGATTTCAATGGAATGCCCCATCAAAGATGTGTCATTCGATGTTTGAACTCCAACTGGTCGAGTTATGTCTTCGGAAATTTTGTCGGCCAATACGGATCACTTCCAGGAAATAGGCTTTTTATGAAACCCCCGTGATTATTAAAATTAAATTTTTGTAGAGCGGAACGTTGGAGCCATGGAAAAGGGGTCAACTGAATCACAACAGAAGCGTAGCGTTGTAAGTCCGTGTTTTGTCGTCCCCTGATTTGCATTTTCATTTGATAGCTAATCTATTGATTAATTAAAATGGAAAGTGTTTATGATCTCGTAGCCTGAGGTCGCGTTTCTTTCATTCATCTCTTCCTGTGTTTGTAAAGTTGTAACATGCTTTTGCAGTCCTCCGCCGATCGAGATGGACTGCGGACGGACCGTGACATCAAGCGGGAATCATCCTCTCCGCAGACATTCAAGCATCATCGCTCGTCGTTGTCGAGCGGTTCCGTGGAAAGCCGGATGGCGGAACTTGATGATATTCAACGGTCAATGGAAGTGGAGGAAACGGAGGAGGAAAGCTTTGAGGAGGAGAGGTTTAAATCGCGAGAACATTACGATACGGACTCCGATAGTGTCTCTAGTGGGCGCGAAGCCGCATCATATCAACAAGGAGCTCGCGTGCAGACTCAACAGCCCCCTTCCCCGGTAGAAACTTACATCAACAACAGTGTCAGCGGGGTAGACAGAATTCCTACTCACGAATGGACCTTTGAGGAACAGTTCAAGCAAGTAAGTGCTGCATGTTTCATTTAAACCCTCTGATGGTTTGATTTTCTCTAGCAGAAATCTAAGCCGCAAACATTTTTTGGTTTTACATCTCGAGGACCATCATTAATCAACTTTGCTTCGTAAAAAGTTGACACATCTCAAGCGAATATTAATAATTATTGTTCCAAACAATTCCAGCTTTCGCAGCTTTAATCGATTTATTCATTCCCGTGTTGTATTCAAGTGAATTCCAGCGTTCAATGTCTCCGCGAGCACCATTTGAGCTTATACATTTAGCGTCTTTGTCGACGGACGCTAATCTCTCTTTCTAAATCGTTCTTTAATAGAAGGTGAGTTATGGGTAGCGGTGCATATTTTGCCGGCGTGTTTGACACGACGATTTTGTTTCTTTATGACATTTTGACAACGAGCGTTTTTAATTTTCTACCTTCGGGGGCCGCTCCGCGCGATCTTTGCCGTATTCTCGAAGAACATAATAACAAGACTTAGAATGAAACGTAGGATTATAAGGGTGTGTAGAAGTTATGATACTGGCCTTGATAAAACGGTGATTTGGGAGTTTGACGCGCGAATATCGGCTTTATTGAATTAGTGGGTCATAGAATGTGTAGTTTTAATTAACCTATGATACAAATTTGCATACCTGGCTTATCACCTGGGCGAAATGAAATATTGTATTTGTCATAAGAAATTGAAGGCAGAAGAATATTTAGCTCGGTTTTATTTAATAGCAGATAAGTTCTTAGTTACTTGTACCAGAAAGGGGAATAATTTTTTTCTTGACTTTTACCTTGGATTATGCTGTAACTTGTTATTATCTGTAACCTACAAAGATACATGTAAGCTACACAACAATACTGCCTTCAATTAATATTTAATAATAAGCCAGAGTTAATATAGGCCCTTGGCAATTGCAAAGTTGGATTACAGCTCTTTTTAGGTGGCAGGTTGACCCGCCACCTGTCACTCATACAGCTTGTCATTTTTAGTCTCACTGTATTTTTTTGGCAAATACTGATTGGCCACCAAACTTTGGATATTGTGTGGTGTGTCACAGCTTAGGAATCATTCATGACCTTTATAAAGTCTATTTGACACGAGATATCTACAGCAGATGGATAAGTTAATGGCCGTCTTGGCGGAAAATATACTGGCAGTCATTAGATGTGGGCTCACTGAATAGGCAAGGATATTTACCTCCATTTTAATAGATATTGTAAATTATTGTCAGATACAACATCCTGTTTCTTTTCACGAACAAACAAGCCCCAGCTTCAATTTGACACTGTAATTAAAACTCTCAATGCTGCATGGAGTGTAAGAACTTTCTTGGAGGTAATATGCCTGCTGTTTTTCTGTGTTCAGTGATTGTAATTTGACATCTATCCAGTGAAATTTGAGGTGCTCGTATTCGTGAATGCATTACTTTTATTTCAACATAATCCTCAAGTCATCTTTAATAAAGCTTTTAATCTTCTTAAGTATTTCTAAGATATTCTTTGTAGTTCTTCTTTGATAAAATCAATAGGTATATCTTTCAAATGGAAGCTATGGCATATTGCTCCTACTCTTTCATTTGCTGAAAGCCGTTACATTATTTTAGAACTGGCAAGAAAAAATGATGGAGTTCCACCTTTCCTGGTAATTAATCTTTAAGCACTTCTCAATTTCACTTCTTTGAATCCCTCTCAAAAAGAGTATTTAAGGTGAAAAATTATTTCTGTGAGAATTGTTTATTAGTTTTGATCTCCAACACTAGGAAGTGTAATGTTTTATCTCTAGTGTGCTGCATGATTGAATTTAACTGCCATATGTGTTTCGTGATTTCTTAAAATAAGTTACTTTTTTGGGTTTACCTGTTACTAATTTTTGCACCATTTATCAAAACTTCATTAGTCAAGCTGCTGGATTTCTGGATATAATGCTAGCAACACATGTTGATTCAATCAAATGATATTTTTAGAGAGCTATCATTCATGTATGTTTCATTGATCTTGCATGGTTAATTTATCGGAGACTTCAAAACTTCTTGGGATTTCATTGAAAAACCCTTCAATGGTATCTGTGAGAAAGAAAATAGAACAAAATAACCCTTAGTTTCAGTACTTGTGCAAAGTTGATAGAATGCATTTGTGAATATTAAATGTTGCGTTTGAGAAGAAGTTTAAGCAATAAGAAGACAATATTACAATTCAGTTTTGTTATGATCAGATGGCTGCAATATTGCTTTTGCAGTCTAACTTGTTAGTAATGAAAACAAACTAAGTGGTGTTTAGGTTAAACATGCGTTTTCATCCAAGTTCAAAATGCAAAATTTCCGTAAAGATTAGTTTTAGAGAGAGTTTGGAAAGGCGATATGTTTTTGTAACACAAATGCATGCATTAGGTGTATGTAGAATAATGATTAATCATTTCCTAGTATATTAGCATGAATGGCTTGTAACCTGAAAGAAGGAGTGAATGATGTTCTAACATGCTCAGATGATGAATCAATATCAATTGAGAATGCAAAGAACCCGAAGAATCTGATTTAAGTATTGTCACCTGCATGGTTCTGCTGTCTGCATATTAAGTTTGTTTTGATTTTAATCAGTTCATTTGGCTGTAGATATTTGTTAAATACCCCATTTGTGATTATAGTTGTCAAGGTTGGTTTTCTGGGATAGTGATGAAGATTTTCTTTACAAAGCTCTTAACTTAGTAGGACAAGAACATGCAGCAAATAAGAATGGTGAAGGAGATCACATCTTCATGAATAAATGTTAGGACCCATCTATCTTCTAGCATAGCAAAGCAAATTGATACAGTCCCACAGATCTGCCAACTTCCAAACAGGAAGACATTAGTGTATAAGGGTGGTTCTAACTTGTCTGTAAAGTAAGTTGTCAGTATCAGTTTGCAAAAATGTGTATTGTTTGCATCTACTTTCAGTCCACCGAGTAAGATTGGAACTTAAAGAAGTAAAAGAATGCACATTCCCTCATAGTTAATATATTAACGTTCCTTTATTTAATTTTTTTTTTGTGGTTTAATTCTCCTAAATTGACCTTTGGGGTTGTTATTGTTGACAGCTAGCCAAATAGTTCGAATTAGCACTAAGTTACTAGCACACTCATATCCTAATACATAGCATGGTTACAAATATTAGCACAACTTTTTGGCTACAATTTCAAAAGAGCCGCTCGTGACTAGTTGAATTTACGACCTACTTCAAAGTACTTAAGGATAGTTTTCTGCCAAGTTTGTGGTGAAACTGATAACCATCCTGTGTGAATTGATCTGTATCAGTCAAAAGGTCATAATACATTTCTAAACTTGTATGGTTAAGAAATTTAAGGGCCAGATTAACCCTGGGAGAAATTGTATTTTGTATCCTCTAATGTCATTATTATATTGGACTTCAGCATTTTTGAAAAGTTTTAATTTTGTTATAGAAAACTTGCAGGGCTTATTTTACAGTTAATCCGCTGATTAGCTTTGTGATGCAAGTTGATGTCTGTGTTCAACTGACCATTAACTACGATCATACTGGTTCGTGTCTATCAAGGTCCATTAGCGTGCTCAATGGTGTGACTGATTATATACCTAACAATAAAGCTTGTCTTTTCCCCTATATAGGTATATAACTGTCTGGAAGTACCTTTGTTGCATTAATACACTTGAATAAAAATAGTTTTGTAGACTGAGGTCAGAAGACACTATAATGCAAGTCATTTATTCACTCGATAGCACTCATGAAAGGCAGTCAATAGAGGGGCACAACAATGCGAGAAAGCTAAATAGCTGTCCTTCTATAGTGTGCACTTTAAGATGCACATGTATTTGGCACTTGATCATACATGATGAAATTAATTTTTTGCATAGAGAACATAATCAGCTGGCCTAAATAGCACAAAAGTTAGTGAAATATTTCATATATTTCTCTGTTTTAATTTCTTGTCAAAGAACTTGCATTGGACTTAAATTAGTTACAAGGGATAATAAAGTTCCTGTCTTTTTGGTATAGTGTAGGGCCATTTGTATTTCCAGCTTCATAATGATGCTAACCAACCAGCCAAAAGCTTCTAAAAGCTAATATTTTGTTAATTTCATTTGATATGATTGAACCTTGGAGCATTTCGTTATAGTTAGTCAGGATTTCCTATCATGATTGTTGCACATTAAGCATGCTGAGCAACACAATTGAACAGTTAACTGGCATAAATCTGCCAGAATAAATTTTTATGATTGACTGACTGAGTCATTGAGTATATTGATGAAATAAACAAAATTTTTTGAATTTTTCATTTTTGATCTGACTATGGTTAACAGTTTTGTAATTCTAAGAATTTGCTAACAAAAGATGACATTGAAGTTTTTGTTTTGAGGAAAGATTGTTGGTGGACCTTTCAGTTCTTGAGTCTTCAGAGTAGATCTTAGATTTCAGTGAATTGAAATGAAAACTTGTCATAAATTTGAATGTAAATCATTATTTTATGATGCTGGTAAAATTCCCCAAGCTAGATCAAATCAGTGTAAACACTTGGACAAGTTAATTAAGGATTACTACCACTTGAAAATCCAATTTGATTGTCTGAGAATTCCTTGTTAGGAATGGAACAGCATACATATTCCATTTGAGTTTACCAGAAAACCCAAAAATGGAAAATAATCATGGCGCCAGGCACATTATAAGTATCAACAAAGTCAACAAGGGTTAACATCTCCATTTGGAACTCAGCTGTTGCTTGATATATTTTTGATAATTTTTTTTCGAAAAAGTACACTATTTTTTGAAAAAATGAATGCAAACATACTTATATTGCAGCTACTCTAGCTGGTTTGTAGGTATTCCACTCAAATAGTGATAGATAATCATTCAGATTAAACATGAAATCATATAAAACTGTCTCTGGCAGGGGTCAATATCAGAATATTACAAAAAAGCATTGTTGAAAAGTGAAACTCAAACCTATTGATTACCAAAATAAAGAACCAAATTTAGCCAGTAACCAGAGCTGTATTTAAACAAGGGACCTCTGTGTTGTGAGTACAGTGTGATACCATGCAAAGTTATAGTTATAAAAAAGGGTGCTCCAGATTGGACAGAATACTCGAACAGGGATCATACAAGAAACCTACATTGCGTGTGAGACTTCGATGTTTTTTTAGATGCACTTTTAAAGGCAATATGCCTCAGATATGGATGTAGATGTGACTGTATATTACTCACTTTACTATTTTTGAACTTGAAATTGCCAGCACATTACCAAATAAATAGCAATTAAGGAACCTTGAATAGCATTGCCCTTCAAAATGCACATATATGCTTGACTGTTCTGTCTTTCCACACTAAATGCTGTATACATTCAATATACTAGGAAAAAGTACCCACATTTTTTATGTGAAGTGCATATGAGCTACCAAATATCACCCATTAGCCTAATGGAACTGATCTCTTCCCAAGTTGATGTGTTTTTCTTTACTCTGATTACCTGCTGTGACTTGTGAGTTAAAAGAACGGTGGTTTTCTTAATAGGAAATTTGCACATTTCATAACATTATTTGATAGCCCACTCTTGTTGTCATTCGACTTCTACACTTATGGTGATTACCATAAACATTCCTGATATTACAACTGTATGTATGTCAGAGTATCAAAGCAATACCTTGTTGTTATTATATTTAATGATTTGATATCAAAATTTAGAGATGATCGGGTCAGTATCATAAATATTAGGTATGAGAAATGAAGCTTTGTAATCTTTAATAAGTAGAGGGTGGATTTCTCTATATTGTGAGGAGCAAACAAAAGCAACAAGAATACATATTTAATTTGACAAAATAAAGATCACACAGGGTCAGGAATAATGATGGATCAAACTTAAATCACATGTTGGGCTGTTTTAATTTCATTTTTAGTTGTTGTTGAGTAAAATGAGATGAAGCATTTATTGGAATACAGTTTTTAAAATTTAGGTATAATTTAAATAATTTGAACACTCATATTACCTGTTGCATGTAAAATTTGTGTTGTGGAATCCTTATCATATATGAGTTTATTTTTGCCCAAGTTAGAGCTGTAAAACGTGATACAAGGACTATGTTACACCACAGTATTTTAAATGCAACATAGCCGTGTATCCCATGAAAAGGGGCTATTAATTAGAGATCTTCCTGTTGGCAAGAAGAAGTCTATATTAATTAAATTTTCCTGTACTTTATATTTGAAAATACAAGTGTCAGTTTTCAGTTCATGATACTTTTATTATAACCTAAGGATTGCTAAATGATTATGTCTGTGGCGTACTTCTAACCGACTTATGGATAGCGAAACGCTTTGGCTCTGTTTATCATATCATTAATTTGGTTTTATCAACTGACTTGATAAATGTAAAATTGCCACCATATAGAGTTTCTAAACTGACGTTTCAAACTTTAGCCCTTCGTCAGAGCGATGAACAAAGAGCTAACTCTCGAAACATCAGCTTAAAAACTCTTCGGTGGCCATTTTATATTATCAAACTCATTTGATAAAACCAACTATCTTGTTATACTCTCCCACAGACGTAGCACCACTGTTACATAAGAAACTTACCCCTTTATTCATGTATCTTATCGTTCGTTTTGTTTCTATTTTTTAAGCTGTACGAGTTGGGTACTGAGCCAGAAAGGAAAGAATTTTTGGATGATTTGTTTACGTTTATGCAGAAAAGAGGTAAGATAGTCTGAAACTTTCCATCTAGAGGTCAGATGATGCCAGGAAATTCGTCATTATTTCTATTTTGTAAATGGTTGCAGGAGTTCTTCCCTGGCCGTTAAAATGTTGCATATTTCATAAAGCTTAAGTGAGCTTATNTCTATAATATCAAGAAATGGATAGACATTCTAGTCTTCTCGGATAAGGACGAATAAACCGTAGGTCCCGTCTCCTGCATCTATTAATTAGTTAATTTGGTTAGGCAGGGGACGTTAAAGAACCCACTCACGAGACTACTGTGATGTGGTCTGGCCTGTTTACTCGGAATTGGGGGGGGAGTGGGCATCTTCAAATAATTTTCCTTCGATTGTTTGTAAACTGCTGATGCAGTCCGGCCAAAGTCCCCCGAAAAGTGTTGTGATGCGCATTTGATCATATCCACATGTTAATTTGCGAAATATAAATATTAAATTATTATTATTATTATTATTATTATTATTATTATTATTATTATTATAAAATTGAAAGTCCCGCACAGTTGAGCATGATTTTGATACATAAATTTAAATGATGAAGATGCCAACCTACCTGGTTGTCTTTTAACAACCTGGAGTCACATCGAAAGATCATAAAACGTTTGAATTTTTTTTTTGCTTTAACATTACCATTTTATGGTGGTAAAAAAATTCATGACTACCATACTAAAACCTAAAAATTCTAATCCTAACAAGTTTGTTTACCGAGTCCCTCAGAGAATAGTTTGATTCATTTCGCTTTATAAATTTAGACTTGAGATATTCGGGAACCAGCCCGTTTAAAGACTTGAAAACCATTAAGGCGGTCTGAATTTGACGTTGAGATTTCAAGTCTTTCCAGCTAAGTTTGTGAAACAAAGAATCAACATCTACGTCATAGTTTGATGAAGTTAATACACGCACTGTAGCACGGTTTTGTAGTTTTTGTAGCTTGTTAGATAAAGTTTTGCCACAATTACCCCAGACTAGGCTGCAGTGATCAAAAGGAGAAGTGAGCTGTATATACTGAGCAGGGTGGACTGAGGCACAAATGGCTTAACTCGCTTTATGGCTCCAATTGCAGAAGCGAACTTTTTACTCAGCTTTTACTCAGCTGTGGGAATGCCACATTAGATTTTCATCGATATATATTCCAAGTGATTTCAAAAAGGAAACTTGTTCAATCAGAACGTTATCAACGCAGTGTCTCAGATAGAGTACTTTAAAATCTTTGCCTGGAGCCGATCAATATAAATTCAGTTTTTGTAGCGTTCACGGTAAGTCACTAAGACACAAGCCATTTGCTTAGCTTTTCAAGGTCGTGAGATTTTTTGTGGTTAGCGGCGGTGGAAGAATTTGATAGGAAACCTTGTACTTGTGACAGGGTAAAAATTTTTATTTTTGTTTTAATGACATACTTTTTGATTTTTTTAAATAGGTACTCCAGTAAACAGAGTTCCCATAATGGCTAAGCAAACATTAGATCTCTTCAAACTGTTCAAACTTGTCGTTGAAAAGGGAGGGCTTGTCGAGGTGAGCGACGCTGGAAATTTTCGTTTCAGTATTTGATACTTTATACCTTCGTGCTTTCTATATTCTGTCTACGATTCATCATTGAATTCGGTGTTGCTTAATCTTATTTTCTAGGTAATAAACAAGAAAATCTGGCGTGAGATTATTAAAGGACTAAGTCTTCCAGCATCAGTTACGAGTGCAGCTTTCACGCTTCGAACACAGTGAGTAAAGTTCCATAAGTATGAGCTTTTTATTTTTGTTATTCTATTTTGAATTGTTGAAAAGTGTGATTAAATAGACCGTCACATACAATATGATTTCAAAGAAATTTTGATAGTCTTGGATGCAAAGTGGTGTTGGATTGGTTTTGCTGTGCTTCGCTCTTTGATTGAGCACGAAAACTCGCATCTCCCTCTCAGCCAATCAGATTCAAAACTATATGACTATGTGTGATAGTTTGATGAGTTTTCCCGTGCTTAAGATACTTGATTAGTCTTCAATTTGAATCCTCATCACTTCACTGTGATGGACTTTGACAAGAGCCTCAAATGAATTGCGCTTTGTTACCTTACATAGACATGTACACGAAATTTTCAAACAATTTTCCCAATTCTTTCATTTACATTTGTAACACTATTTATTAATTAAGACTTTTTACGCTAGATACATGAAATATCTATATCCATATGAATGCTCAAAGAAGAAGCTATCCTCTCCAGCCGAACTTCAAGCAGCTATTGACGGAAACCGTCGTGATAGCCGAAGATCATTTGGCTCGTTTCTGTCCCAAGCCGTGCCATCGGACGGCCCACATCCATACAACAGTCCAAGTCCAACAACAACACCGCCTGCCTTTACGTCCAGCAACACCTCTCCAGGGCTTCCTCATAGGTCAAGTCCAGGCCCTTCAGCTTCCAACCATGACGTGAGTTATCCCTCCAAATTCAGTTTATTGTTTATAACCAAGTACTTCTGGTGAACAATATAAGGCTGGTAATAACTGAAGATAAATTTGCTAGTTTTTATAAAACAGTAGTTGCTTATTTCAAGGAGCTTTTGTTAAAAAAGAATTGTTGAGAGCAACTTTTTTCGTTTTGGTTGTTTTGCTTTTAACAAGAACTTGTTCGCAAAGTTATGATAGTTGTACGTTAAAGGTGCCGTCCCAAATATGATAATCATCTTCTTTTAAAGGTGCATGTACCTCCATCAGTCCATGGCAACAATGGCGTTGCTATGCTTCACTCTCCGGGCGTTGTTCAATACAGCCCAAAGCGTTCGTCGAGCGTGACCGAGGTGACGTCACGAGGGGTTTCCTCGTCACCATCCGATGCGTCACCATGCGGTTCACCAGTCAAGAAGTTTGCTGCGGTTAATGAACGAAGCAATAAACCAACACCGACTCAGCTTCCCTGGACACATATTAAAATACAAACTCAACCCAAAGGTAAAAATTCCTTTTTATCGCCTGGATTTATGTTTTCATTCCTGTTCTTCTCATACTTACTTGTAAGTGTTGAAATGCTTTTAACTTCTTCAAGGCAGAAGAGGGTATTACACCTAGTACTTATTCAAATTTAAGGCTCAGCCTCGAGATTCTAAATGTGCGTTTCCATAAGGTAGGTTCTTTTTGTACTCCAAAATTTCGCAAAGGGCATTATCACTAGAAATACAGCAAAATCTTCACTGAGCGTATATTTGGATAAAGACCAGAACATACGTGGCATCGTGTAGCGTAAAAACGACTAGGAGTGGGTGACTGCAAATCGATTAAAATCATTTCTCTTTCTCTTGCTCAGGTATGTCACAAGGCGGCCAGTTCCAGTTTCCAGATCCCGAACGATCATCACGCGGTCGCGAGCCGAGGCAGTTACCGCTGACTCTTCTGGACCAAGTGAGCGACAACTCATTGCTTGTGTCTGTAGAGCTCAATGGTGTGGTTTACCAAGGGGTTTTGTTTGCTCGGCAAAATCGACCGGACTCGCCGAGAAGTAACGAAGACTACTAACTCAAGTATGATGTTCCTACTCCTCAAATATATGGGCATTAGTGTAGGATTTAGAGCGGTTTTAGACTGACTTTTATAAAATTGAATTGCCATGTGAATGTAATTTGAGTCTTGCACGGTAAAACATGCGATTAGTGGAAGAAAGGTTAATAGCGCGAAAGACTGGCCATGCCTCACTCACATCTCACTGACTGTAGGGTCCAAGTGGCAGAACTTACATCTCAATGAAATCATAAAAACCATGACATGGTAGCCAGGAGCCGCTTTGTGTTAAATGCCTGTTAGTAAGTAGTGTGTAGAAAAAGGGTACTTCAAGTGACCACGTCCGCTTGACGTCACTAGACGGGCGAAGTCATTTCACTCTACCCTTTCACTGAGTTTTTAAGCCGCATATTCTTCAATAATTATCACCGTTAAGACTCACCTACATTTTTGTAAGTCAGTGTAGTTCGTAAGTCCTACCGGCCTCTTGATATCATCAGTTTATGATATTTCACGCAAGACGAGTATTATTCTAAAATTCGGTTACTTTTCAAATTTTTTTTTTTTCGTATTGTATATTTATCTTCTTCATACCTAAGCTCTTCTGAAATGTTGACTTGTTCAGGAAATCCACCCCTAAACGAGAATTAGGGTAAATTTAACGTACAATGTAGCAATTTTATCATTGTCTTGTGAATGAGAAGCAAGATCAAACAAGTTTGAGTGTTTTGAGACAAAACGTTGGATTGTGATATCTGGTTCAGATTATTTTTTCTGCGAGTGCATTACATAAACCTGGTATATGATTTCAAATAAATCGGAAAAATGTTTGTCATATTTTGACTTTTTTGTACTTTGATATGAAATGTCGAGGAGAATGCCTCTTACTGAATATACTATAATGTTAATGTTTAAACCTAATTGTAAATCATTTCTCCTGTCGTATCTTTATATAGGGCTCCTTCGGAGACCTACTCAGTCTTGACTCTCTACCTTTAAAGAATACATGCACCCACTGTAAATACTTGACTTCCGGTTATAATCTTATTTTTCCTCTCCTGGTCATAGCTGGTAATATCTAAATTCTATTCGTGAATCTATACTGTTGTTACTATAATTTGGAGCGAAAAAGACATTCCTTTGCTGTAAAATAATTTCTATTACTACTTCGAGGGTGTTACTGCTGTTGCACCAGTTTTAAAACAAAAGAAAAAACCTGTACTTCTTCTCCCTTTTTTACGAATGCTGATCCCCATGCAGTTTTCTACGGCATTTCTATCGTAAAATTGTTTTGGGTTTTCTATTCACTTTGAATTTTCTTTTTGATCAATTCAAACGATTAATGGTAACACCCTCGACTTTGTATCTTTCGAGCTGTCCTATCGAAACTGTATTTGGAGAAGGGTGTACATTTAAAGGATAAACTTAATTTACTTATACGGAATTACTCTAGACTTGTTCTGTTACTGGCTCTTAGGTATTTGAATGCGTGTTAACATCCACACTATTATCATTATTGTAATAATGGTACGTAGAATATAGGTTGGTTAGTGTTTTTTTTTTTTTTGTTATTATTGCGCCATATATTTAGCAGTGGCGTCAACTTACTTATTCCTCTGCGCTCTTTGGTGTGCTGTTTTAAAATGTTATTAATGCTGAGATTTTAATTTATCTTTTATTGTTTAATGCTAGAAAAACTACCCAAGAGATAAATCTTCGTATCTGTGATGATGATAATAAGATTCGTTTACCTTGTAGGTAGGAATATACTCGTCCATATATTCTAGTTAACTAGTTTTGTTCAAAACACTTTGTGGGGATTTTTATCGTCACCACCATCATCATCATCATCATCATTATCATCATAATTATTATTATTTTTATTATTATCATTACTTTAATATATACCGAATTCCGCTGAACGCATCGATCCTATGTGAATATTTTTATAACTGAATCAATAATGAAGGATTGCGTATGTACACATGTACAAATAAAAGTAACAGACCTTAGACTGTTTTGTTATTTACTGTAAGCTTTAATTCTCTACCTTGTGTTCCAAATCTCCTTCTCCACCTTGGAGTCCCTTTGGATGAAAAGGTCTTTTCATTTATCTCGCGTGCTCATCTAAAAAGAAGGGCCCGACTGCGTTAAAAGATTAAAACTAGGATTTGGGAATCACGGATCAGACAGGAAAAGAATGAGAAGGCTGGTAAAAA